CGACTGAGTGGCCACTTCAACAGCACTTCAGTTGAGTGTTGAACCGGCAAATTCTTTGGCCAAAGATGTAATAGACCACAACTTAAATGTAACTTGAAGGCAAACGTGATTTTATTCCCGAAATAGGCATAATATTAATTATGTGGCACATTAGCCAAGTTTTACGTCATGCATTCGATTAAACATTGGAAGATTTCAGATAAACTTTGCATTTATCATCAGCTAACAAATAAATCCTTTGCTTTTAACTTTTAACTCATAATAATTTCATAAAAATTGTAAATATGGCCATAAAGACTAGAACTATATCACAATATAATTAAATTTTATTCAAATATAAAAATTTTCAAATTAAGAGGAAAACGCAACCAAAGCAAGTCCAATTTGATTCGAGCCAGTTTAACAGTTTCATTTCCACAAAAATTAAAAAAAATTCATCATTAGAACGTGTCCTAAAATCGATTTCAAACCTCAAACTCGATTTCAATTTCAATAAGCCAATGGCTGCATACCTTCGAAAATATTAATTCCATATAAGTGATGCAAAACAAAAACAATTTATTTTTCGATTGGAGTCTGTCATTGTTTCAATGAGCGTGTTGCAAAAATTATGGGACAATAATAACTGGTCGAAAAAAATTGTTCGTCACCCCTTCTTTCATTGTTTTGAAATCTCAGATATTCGTATGCACTTGGTTTGTTATGAAACAAAATTGCCTTATAACGGAAATAAAAAACAATTGCAGAATTTTTTCGTAAAAGGTTATTTCCCTTACCAAATATTTTACGGCACGTAGCTAATATAGACATTTTGTCGGAATATTTTTTAATATAATAATAAGCAAAATATTAACAACAAAAAATCCACAATGTAACAATAATTTATACACCGAAAGAAAAGCGGGATCAAATAAAAACAAGTAAAAAAAAACTGTAAGTTCGGCCGGACCGATCATTTGGCATTTTTCAAAATAAATAAAATCCGTTTAAAATTCTGTTATAATCTTAAAAATACGGAATGTAGCCGTTATATTAGGATATATATTGTAGATATATTTAAAAAAAATTGCGTAAAAATCTAATTTTTTTCAGTTGGTCCCTTGCCCCGAAATGCATTTGAAATGCTTTTATGGCTCCGTCCGATTCAGATGTCCATAGAACTGTAAAATGGACATATAACAACATAAACTTATATTATTTTCCTTTTTTGGATAACTTGCCCTAACTTTTCCCCAGTGTAGCCGGCAGCAAAAAAGTCTCAATTTATGAAAAAAAAAATGTAAAATCTTGATGATTCGTGCGAAAAACATCGACAAAAATCCATTGCAAATTGTAGGTGTCCGTCCATTGACTTATTGATAAGACAATCAAACGAAACAATGCGATCAACACACACACCACACGGCACAAAAAACCCTTTCCATTGCGGGCTATAATCATTTTGTTGCCTGCCTGCCTCTTCCCCTTACATGTTGTTATTCGTTGTTGTTGGTATTCCTTGTTTTACTCATGAAACGGAAGACGAGGCTGTTTTGTTATTTTATTTATAGTCATCAAATCAATTAAAAATTGTTGAGTCCAAATCATTTGTAATTGTCAAATGAATTTTTTCCGTTTTTTTTTGCAATGGCTATTGTTTTTGACTGGAGATTGGAGTGCATGTGTTTTATAATACACCGACTAGCATAAATAATTTCGTCGGAAAAATCCACCAAAAAATATAAATTAAAAACTGAAAATTATTTAAACTAAAGACCCTGAAAAGAGCTAAATAATGTGACGTTAAATAAATGTTAAGCACGTGCTCTTTTTTTCCACAAAAGGTAATTCTTTTTCTACAACTTTTTTCAAACTTAATGTAAATAATTGCTCTGTTTCAGAACTACAAGAATGTAAAACTTTTTACTACGATAAGCGAAATTTCCTTTATGATATCGAAAAAAAATTGCAAAACTAGTCGATTCTTGCAGGTTCTGGAACAGACCAAATATTTACCCAAGATCTTTCCTTGGCAAAAGCTACCTATATTTTTTTTCGTTGCATATTTCAGACCATTAAGCTCGCCTCGAAAGGGAAACAAACTTGAAATTTTTATTGGCCGGATCTAATTTGGTACCGATGGACCACCCTAATATATATTTCTACACACACTATTACTGACATGCACATATTCTATATCAATTCCATTAAATAATTGTTTTGCAGTCAACTGTTTCGCCACTGTTTTTTTGTTTATAATGTCTATTCGATATTAAATTGAATTGTTTAGAAAATTATCATTTTCAAATTTATTGTTTAACGAAGTAATCTTCCATAAACGTGCAAAAAAAAAAAAGAAATCGCTTACGCTTAGATGTGTGCGTGTGTACTTTTTTGTGTCAAACAATACAATGTCAAAGTCAAAGCGGGGCTTAATTCAAATAAATGAAACTTCATATGACAAAATTAAGTTTTGTTAGGATATATGAAGAAACTTATGTATTAAAAACTCAAAAAACTAATAATAATAATAATTATAATAAATCTAATTATGGATATATAACTAAATATACAGGGTGAGATGAAAAAACTGAAACCTAATTCAGACTGCTGTCATTTCTAAGCCACTCGTTCGACAGCTGTTAAAGCGTACAAAAGCATTTTAGTGAGAATTTTCAAGAAAAAATTATTCAAGATGGAATTCAAGCGTGATAGTGTCATTTCTTTATATTTGGCTGGAAAACCACGAGTGGCTATCGTTAGAGCACTCCAGCATTTAAATGGGAATAAATCTTGTATAATCGCTCGTTACCGAGATTCTGGTAGCGTAAACATTTTGGCAGCAGACCTTGGACATTCCAACAGGACTCAGCACCATCGCACTCAGCACGCGCCACTCAAGAATGGTCAAAAATGAGATTCCTCGCTTCAAAATTATGGCGTTTGAATTTGTTGAATTTTTTTATCTCACCCTGTATATGCGTTAATCTATGCCGATTCTTCATCATCACATCATCTACGGTAGTCAAACCTTTTATCCCGTTTTGACAAGAGGACGAATAAAGCTAGCCCTAAAATATATAGTTTGCTTTTGGCTCACATGTTCTGTAAAATATATGCACATGAAACTTATTTGGATTCGTATTACCTAAAACTATTTCAGACTAGAAACTTATTTCCGTACCCAAAAATTATATCCAAAACGTGTAGTATTATTATCAGATTCTCATTAACTGATCAGTTTTTTTTTTTTTTCAAATTTTACTGTTATCTCCTTCCTGTACTTATTTGGCAATGTAGATATCTCAAAGTGATTTCTGCATTTCAATATTTTAACTAGTTTTATCATTTAAAATGTACGGGAACATAGCCTATATATTGATATTAATGTAGTGTAGAATTATCTTAGAGAATAACATCAAAACAATTGTGTACAAATTTTTATCAGACAATTACTGAACTATAAACTCAAAGCATGAAGTTTCAAGATATATTGTTTTATTTTAACAAAACTAGACTTATCACCTTTTCACTCTGAGTCACATAATTTGTTTACAAAAAAAAAAATATGCATCACGTTTACTATAAAGCTAAAAACCTGTTCCCAATATTTCAAAGATGACTTTAAAATGAAGCCACATCTTGACCATCTTCTTTAAGAGTTGTTTTACTTTCAATGACACAACAAACCATAGCCGTGTTTTATCATAATAACAGCATTTTTATTCATATTTTATGGGTAAATTATTTTAGAATCAATAACCTAAATTCAAATGCCATTTATAACCACAAATAACCTACACAAACTGTTATTTCAAGAGCAAAAGAATTATTAATTGATTATTTTAATTAAGTTGCCACACTCTTTTTCTTTAATTGTCAACAAATAAACATAACATATTCGTATGAATCGACAGCATACTATCATTTCGAAACAATGCAAAGCAAAACAAAAACATCAATTCTTATCAGACAAAATGAAACAAAAACAAAAGTGACAAGTTCACATTTGGCAGTTACGGAGAGAACAGATATTGGGAGAAAGAGAATAATAAGAAATAAGGGAATTTTGGTTGCTACAAAGAGAGAAGAACGCAACGTGGATATTTTTGTAAATAAGCAACAGCAAATGGAAAACTATTTTCATGGTTAATGAGTCTTCAATAAACAATTATTTTCGATAAGTAAAGCCAAATAACATATTCGGCATAATTTGTCATACATAATATTCAATGAAAACCAATTTTCGTGTTGCTTTTTAAACAAATATTTTTGATAAAAATACAACTTAACGGATGCACTACCGCCACAATGACATTACGTTAACATTTGTTTAACCAATTCACAACAAATCCAACTCTCGCAGAAGAGAAAGAAAGTATTCCACAATAGAACAGAAGGAAAACAAAAATCTCATAAGCTGTTGGCACATAACACAAACACACACACATCTACATGGAGATTTGCAAACACATTTCTAGTCACTTCATATTGAAAACATGATTAAAAAAAACTTATTAAATGGCACATATATTTATTAAATTCTTTTAATAATTCTTACACTCACGTTTAAAATTTGATTTGGAATATAGTTAAGACAAAGGTGCGGAGCGTAATCCCTGAGCAAATGGCGTTGGTCGGTAGATATGTAAATTAAGAATTTATTTTCCTTTGTAGAATTATGTTAACAAAGTTCAATGTTGTTGTCTAGCTTTTTATTTGTTACAAATTGTACAAGATACACGTTGGCGCTCCTTTGTTCCGTGTAACAAGATAGAAAAAAAGAGTGGACTTTTATTTCCTATTTGGGTTAAACAACCAACCAAAGGTGAGGGAATTTTTTTCTTTTACCACACTCACACACATCAATCAATGAATGTCAAAGGTATGGTAAAAACACTTGTTTCAATAACTATTTTGGTGTCTTAGAATTTTCACTTCCCATCCACATCAACACTTCTCATTGCATTGAATATTTAATTTATACTTTTATTGATACGAAACCAATTGCAATATCATACTTTTTGTAGAATTTTTGTGGCGATTTTTATTATAGAAATATAAATTTGATGGTAAATTCTCGCGCAACAAACAAAATAAATCACACTTCACCACCACCGACGACGACAAATGTCAAACTGAGAGTATGTATTGACTTTTTGTCGCTTATATATGTTTTCTCTTCATAAAATACTTTGGCTCTGCTGGGCGAGTAAATAACTCGGATTAAGAGTATTTTTGTGCAATTGTGCCGTGAGAGCTAATTAGGGTTGCCAATTGTTTTCAAATGCCACAAATATGTGTTTTAAGGGGAGACTGATAAAGAATCAAAATAAAACTATTTTTTTATTGGACTTTATTATTAATATATATGTTCACGTACGAATAAAATGCAGAACTTTTCAAACAAATAATAGAAAAAATTGCAGATTCCGGAACAGGGAAATAACAATAAAAATTGTTTATTTTCTTTGTTCTAATGAGTAAAGAAGAAATTGCAAATTTACATCTATGTGACAGTTATATTATATCTTAACCGATTCCGACAAAATTTGGTACATATATTAAAAATGTGATATTTCTTACCGACATGATTTATAAATGGAATAAAACATATACAGGGTGAGATAAAAAACTGCAACAAACTCAAACGCCATAATTTTTACATTTTTTTAATTTTATTGAATGAAAGTAAAAAATGTCGGAAATAGTATAAAATTGTAGAATAATTTTAGATTTGTTCCAAACAACCAAATTCGTCGGTTCACCACTTTCGGCCAAACGAAGCAACTCTTTAGCGCTTTTGAGTCTATTTTCTTTCTGTTGCGGTGTAAGTTCTTGCACTTTCTTGAATTTCAATGACTTTACCCCGATCTCATTTTTCAATATTTGCCGAATGGAATATTGCGATATGTTCAGCTCACGAGCCATATTTCGGCCACTGCGACGCGGGTTTCGATCAAGTCGCTCCCACACTTTTTGACACATTTCAGACACTGGAAACTTTTTAATAGCTGTCGGACGGGTGGCTGTGAAATGACAGCAGTCTGAAGTTGGTTGCAGTTTTTTCATCTCACCCTCTATATTTTATGTCCCATTTGCAATGGATTTCGGTATTCTTTACCGGATTTCGGTACAGCTTTTCAGATTTATGTATAGCTTCCGTATCTAATTCTCTCATTTTTTGAGCATGGAATTAAGTAAAGACTATAAGAAAGTTTTCCAAGTCGAGTAGATATTCGAATCGTTAATAGAAACATAGCTATAAGTTGGCAATTTCTACTTTACTCATCAGGACAAACAAATTAAACTCAGGTCGGTATTTTTTTTTTTTTTAATTTTGAAGGTTATATTTAATTAACAACAATTGCAGTGTATGTAAATACGTATGTCTGTACCATGTCAAATATTAACATTTTTGACAACATAATGCGCGATGGATTAAACTTTGATTTGACAACACTTTGAGTAGGTGCTGTTCACCGCCAGCATGTCGTCTAGTAGCACGCATTTCTTATCAATAATACTACCACTCATACTTGCATTTAGAGACTCATCAAAAGTGACTATTTGATAGGGAGTATAGATAAAACCAAACTTTTTATTCTTTTCTTTGTCTTCGAAGTCTGGCAATCAAAAATCATAGATATAATCTTAAAACAAAGCATAAAATCAGTCGGAGACAAAACCATGTTAATAATACACACAATTTCTTTTCACTTTTCAAAGAGAGAACAATGTATATTTATTTGATTTAAGTTTTGTGTAATTTCATACAGTCTGTAAGTTGTTTTATTTTTTTTATTGATGCATTCGCTTCAGGATTTTTCAACATTTTGAAATAATAATATTCATTTTTGTATAATCTTGTTTAACTTCTTAATGCCTTTTTTTGTTGTGAAATGTTGCAATGTAAAAAACAATGTTACTGTAAAATAGTAATAATTATATATATGCTATGTTTGAAACATAAAACAAATACGAATGTTGTCCACACTTATTTAAAAACACAATGAAATGCATGTCAGTTTTTCAAAAATACATAAATACATATGAAAATGTAATCGTTGTTTCGCTAAAATACTTTTTTGTTTCTCCAAAAAAATTGGCAATTTTGGTATTAATTAATTTAGATGTTAGTCACATGTCTTAATTTTCTTTCTTTTTCTCTTTTGATATGGGTAGAGGTACATATCAAAAACTTAGGAAACATTTTTGTTGTTTATGACTTGCACATAGTTTGCTGGGAAGAGACCATAACGATTTTTACATAGACCACGCCACCAACCTTCATCAATCTAAAAAAGTAAAGGGCACAATTATTAATAAAATTCCCCAATAACTGCTGCTTACATACCATTTCAATGTGGGTAATAACATCATCTGGATCAAATGAAATTTCATCATCATCATTTGCCTGATAATCGTACAATGCAATTGCATGAATATTTGTGTCTTCAATGTAATCGGCTAAATTCTCAGAAGTAGCGGCGACCACTTCCTGTGATTCTTCAGCATCAGACTTTTGAGGGGCTGCGGCTGTTTCTGTCACAGAATACTGTACCTCAGCTTGATTTTGATATAATGGCTCTTCGACAGCGACCGGAGATGCTGCTACAACTGTTTCTACAGGCTCTGGAGAATGTATTTGCGGTGGGGTCGCCACTGTGTCTATTTCAATGGAAGGTATTAGATCAGGTGGTGGAGCCACAGGAGCAGCAACTTTTTGTTCCACAGGAGCTACAACATCAGCCACTTTTTGTTCCACGGTCGGCTCCTTTTCCTCCGCTTTGGCCTCGCTTTCTTTTACCACGCTCTTAACTGGTTCTCTGGGAATGTGTATGGGCTCCTTACGAACTGCAGGGGGATCTTCTTTAGTTGGCGATTGCATTTGATTAAATGCACTTATGGCATTGCCAATTCCGCCTTCGCGTCCAGTGACTATAGTTGAACGGGCACCCTTTGGAGGTGGTTGTTTTGCTTCATCTGACTGAGGTAAGGGTTGATTTTCCACAACAACCTTTTTGGCCGCCTCTTCGCGATCGCGCTTGTCTTTAGCTTCCCGTAAACGTTTTTGTTCTTCCGCCTTTTTGCGGTTTTCTTCCTCAGTCATTTTGGCCAGATTTTCAAATTTGGCACGTAAATTGGATGGTTTAACGCCCTCAATAACGGGCTTAGTCTTGGTATAATTTGTGCCCACTTTTTGTTTTTCACCATCGTCATATGCTACTGCTGAAGCATCCATCCTATCCTTTTGAACGCCAAATTTACCTCCAAAGCCCTGTGAAAAAATTTTCATAACAATTATAATTTCTTAAAAAAAAATTATAAGTACATACAATTTTATGATCCACTTGACTTTCATGTTTCTGCGGAGCTTCCCGATAGTCCCAGCCAACGGCCGAAACGTCTTTACGATCTTCCTGCACACCAAATTTGCCACCAAAGCCTTTGGCGTAATCTTTCTGGGAAGCATGTTTTTCCACCTTTTCGATGTGATCCCAACCAGCAGCCGATTTATCAACACGATCTTGTTGGACACCGAATTTACCGCCGAACCCCTTGGCGTAATCTTTTTGGGATGCGTGTTTTTCCACCTTTTCGATGTGATCCCAGCCAGCAGCAGATTTATCCACACGATCCGTTTGTACACCAAATTTGCCACCATAGCCATAACCAGGGTTTATTTCTTCCAGCTCCTTCTTCTTTTTAGCTTGATCGGCCTGTTCTGTTTCGGATCGAAGTTTTTCCATGCTAAACAAAAAAGAGTATGAAATTACATTAGTGTAAATAAGTATATAAAAGTTTTTGTCAGATAAGTATATATGTATTTGAAAAGTCCGCTAAAATCTTTTGGAGGAATAGTTATCAAATTTGTATCATACGAAAAAATGGTTTGTTGTTGCTTTTAATTTATGATTCATAGCATTATGAATAATAAAATTTTGCAACAATTTAGTGTCCTATCGCATATTATGTATGGTAAGAACAAATAACATTTTTATAAATTCAGAAAAATATACATAATCTGAATAAGGTTAAGGGCCTCCATCCTATATGCTTGAAAAATAAAGTATATAAAATAACAGGTTTGTAGGCCTGGCTGGACCTGTTTATAGGTGAAAGTAGGAAATACCGGCCGGACACCCACTTGAATTTGTTTTAATGATAATATGGATAAACTCAAGTTTACTGAGAATCATCTTAATTGTATTCATATTGCGCTCTTACTCTATTGCACCTGCAGTGCGACCACTGCCTTCTATTGTTTTCGATCCCCATCTTTGTTCCTGCTCACTGACATCGTTTACAAAATCTGGATCAGTTTCCCAGTCATCGTCCTCGGCAGTGTTGTCATTTTGTATTTGAATACCGGTGGTGGCCTTCCACATTTTGTTTTGTTAACTGTTCTGTAAAGATAAATGAAATGCCGATTAATGGTCGATTTTATTGAAAAACTTTAAAAGATTACTCATCGTATAAATCATTTGTGGGTCACAATAAAAAACAAGAAAAGATAACAAAGGCAAGTTAATCACTTGTTTCATTCCCGATATATATGGGAGTGGTCCCAAGGAATCTGGGGTGATCTTGAGAAAAATTATTACATACTTACTTTTTGTTGTAACAACTGAATAAATATAACAACAAAGTAATATATTTCTTTTAAAAAAGCAAAATGTTTAGAATGTTTATTGTTTTAAAAGAAATAATTTCTCTTTCCGTGCTTTCTGTGTACTCTGTACACAAACACATTGACAACTTTGTACAAGTACGCAGAGAGTTGCGAATGAGGGAAGAGGCAACACGCCGAATACGACGAATGGCAACACGCCGAGTGTGTAGAAAACGGAAGAGGCAACATGCCGCAACAGCTGTTTGTTCACGTGAATAAAAAAAGGGGCAAGGAGTCGTAGAAGAACACGTTCATATTGTTCACAGTGGCAATTTAAATCATTAAAAGCTGATTGCAAAAATACGACATTTTCGTGGTTTTCCAATGAAGTTAGTTTAACATTGAAAGAGAAAATGAAAAATGCAACTCTGTACTAAAGCCTTATTGTGCCAGAAAGATTTTTAAATTATGCAACAATTGGGTTTGCTAAATTTACAATTCGAAATTAATTTAGAATAAAACATGGCACAATAATTTTAAGGTAGGGTAAGTTGACTAAATGTGAAAAATACAAATTTGTAGCTACAACCATAAGAAAGGTTGCTCAACTTCAAAGAAACTAGAAAAATGGAACTCTGTGCTGGAGTTTTATAGTGTCAAATAGACTTTCATATATGCAACAGATGGCTTTTTTAATTTTTTCTAAACAATATTCTTTTATTGGAAAAACCCAGCAGAACAAGAAGGGCATTTCGGGGTTATTCCACAAGATTGAATCTGAAATAGTAGGACAATAAATTTTTATTACAAAATTGAACAGTTGTACATTTACGTTTAGATGTATCGAATTTACTAATAAAAGTACAAAAAGTTATTCTGTTTATTTGAATCTTTATTAAAAACTTTTTTATTTAAAGAAAATTTGTGAAAATTAATGGAAAGTCACAGATTTTTCACGGTTCCGATTTCCTAACAATTAAGGTATTCAGATGCATGGTACAATGAAGACAAGGTAGGCCATGGTACAATGAAGAGAAGGTAGGCTAACTTTGAAAAAATTGCATGTATAGAGGTCTACCTGTTTGGCTTGTAATGTCAGAATTAGTATCAAAACAATAAAAAATCCAACAACTTGTTGCATTTATTTTGAACAAATAACTGAAAACCGCGAAAACTGAATGAAAGGTCAACAATTCTTTTCAAAATCATGTTCTATATATCTCTAAAGGTTTATTTCGCTACAAAAACTGTAGATATTGTCGAGGCATACGTCGAAATAAACATTTTGAAAACACCCGAATTTGAATATTTTCTGAACAATTATTTTTGTTTTTATTGAAAAGAATAAAATATATAAAAGAATAACTTATATAAACAAATATAGTTGACACATTAAGCCAAGAAAATGAAAAAATTTAAATCTTATGGTATCATAGCCCTACCTTGATTTTATTGTACCATGGTTCTATATACCTCTAAAGATTTTTTCGTTACAAAAACTGTAAATTTTGTCCATGCATACCTTGCCATAAGCATTTGGAAAGCAAGGAATTTAACTACGAATACATAAAGAAATTAGGTTGTCATACTGAGCCATGGAAATAAAAAAATTAAAATCATATGGTTTCATAGGCCTACAATGACGAACGAATAATACTGAAAAAATTGTAAACATATGATTGCATGACTTTACTTTACAGAATAAGATCAGGTACAATTATATCAGGGTTATATGGAACTTTTTCCGATATAGCTCAGACTGATACCGCATCAGACGGGTGGACGGACATGGCTAAATCGACTTATTATTCGAAATTAAAGCATTCATTTTTTCCGGTGTCATCTTAACTCAAGCTCTATGAAAAGTGAAGTTGTACACTAAGTTGTATCGTTTGTGACAAAAACACAAAATTTGAGAACTCTCCAAGTTGTACAACCAGTTGTATCGTGTGTGGCTTGCATTACCATTGTAATTGTGCCATGTTGCCAAATTTGTTGTATTATTCGTTTTTATTTTTAATTATGAAACGATTAAAGAATATAAAGTCATTCCAGGCATGCAGAAGCAACTCTGCTTGCCCATGCAAATGATTAAAATTTGACAAAAGAGAACCAAAAAAAATTGTTTACTTTTTAGTCTAAACTAAATTAAACATTATAAAGTTTTTTTTTATTTATTAACACGACTTTTGCTGATGCCACTTGAAAAAAAGTGCGTGGTGCTGTTTTGTATAAATGACTCAACTACCATCAAAACCTGAATGTTAACTAATGTAAACGCTTTTTCGACGCACATCATTAAATTTTCGATCGCAGTGCCCCCTACACTTCATTGTTCTAGGGCAAGAAACTAACGACATACGTTGTACGTTGTGCGCCGATAAATGTCAAAATGCTTATGTCAAATTTTCAAGATGGCCGTTTCCGTCCGATGAATTTCTTTCCGTGCGGTTCTTAAACATGACTGGTTTAACGAATAGGGTAAGTGGTGATAATTTTTATAAAAATCACCAATTTTTAACGAAAAATTGTAAACAATTACATACAAACACCGCCCTAACTAACAGAGAATGGATAAAGCCTCGAAAATATAAAATTTGTAAAGAAACTCGTCCTGAAAATGTGTAAATAATAGAGTTCCTTCACACGTGCCCGTTCGTTTCTTATAAATGACATCTGTCAAAAGTGTGGTGTGGTGGATCAAACAATGTGAAAAGTGAAGCTGAGAAAATAGTTATAAATGCTTTAAATTTAACTCAGAAGACAATTTGTACACGCTTCAATCAATTTTAAAGCACTGTGCTTCTGTGGATTTCAGAAATATGCATTTTTTGTGTATAAGAAAATGTTAGTTGGTTTGTTTGTTGAGTGTGTGTTTGTATGTGATGTTTATGATTTGCCATAACCTCACACGTTTTCTTTCAATAGTCAAAGAATTTACTATTGTGGACTTCTTTTAATATATATTTTTTTATTTTTTCAGGCCGTTGTTATTGATGGTCGTGGCCACTTGGTTGGTCGCTTGGCTTCCGTCGTTGCCAAATACCTGTTGCAAGGTGGCAAGGTCGCTGTTGTCCGTTGCGAAGAATTGAACCTTTCCGGTCATTTCTACAGAAACAAGATCAAGTACTTGGCTTACTTGCGCAAACGTTGCAATGTCAACCCTGCCCGTGGTCCATTCCACTTCCGTGCCCCTTCCAGAATTTTCTACAAGGCTGTTAGAGGTAAGATCCGGCAATGTTATTGTCCATAAAAGTATTTGAAGCTAAAGGCGATTGTTTATGTATATAACTCCGAATGTAAATCCTTAAAGAATCAGTTTTCTTCTGTTTTCAACCATAGCACAATTGACAAGTAATTTGTTTTGTTTTTGGAACGAAACAAATGCTAATGTTAGGTCAATAATCTTTTCTTTATTGTTTGAAAAAATACGGAGTTCTATTCATAAACATTGCCATCCATGATGACCAATTTTCTTACCTACATTATTTGAAACAAGATATGTAACAAACATTTATAACTGACAACAGTTTATGAAGCACAACTTTAGAATTGACTTTCTTGCTGGATATATATTAATGTATTTTTTCTCTCTTTCTTGCAGGTATGTTCCCCTGGATTATAAAAAATACAACTTGAATATTTTTGTGATGAACATCAATTTATCTTACCTACATTATTTGATTGAAACAATGAAAAGATTCTACTTAACTGATACAACAGTTGAAACTAACAATCATTAAGTTTACATTGGAATATTATACTAATGTTCTTTTTTTCGTCTATTCCAGGTATGATCCCACACAAAACCAAGCGCGGTCAAGCTGCTTTGGCACGTCTCCGTGTCTTCGATGGTATTCCATCGCCCTACGATAAGCGTCGTCGTGTCTGCGTACCCATCGCTATGCGTATTTTGACCTTGCGCTCTGACCGCAAATACTGTCAATTGGGTCGCTTGTCCAGCGAAGTCGGCTGGCATCACCAAGATGTCGTCAAGAGCTTGGAACGCAAACGCAAGGCTAAGTTGCAAGTCACCTTGAAACACAACAGACTCATGAAGAAGTTGACAGTCAAGGCTCGCGAAAACATTGCCAAGCAAGCCGAACCCTTCAACAAAATCATCAAGTCCTATGGTTACGAATGTTAATTTTCGTATCTAACATTTAGAATAGTTTGTGAAAGAACAGTGTTTTTTTATTTAAAAAAAACGTATGAAGAAAATAGGACGGCCTGAAATGTTTTTAATAAAAAATATAAGTTAAAACAGTATTTTGTGTTGTTTTAATAATTTAAATATAGTGGAGTAGTTTGAAGTGGGTAGAATCAATTACCGACGAATGTCATCATATCTCCGATTTTCGGGATAAGCGTCATCACTAGAAAAAATAGTGTTTAAAAAGGAATGTTTACATTTCTGCAAATTCAAAGCTGTGTTTAAGATCCAATATTTTTCCTAGGTTATCTACAGTTGCATATTGATTCTTGAAACTTCATTGCGTATATTTTCCAAATGAACATTTCATTTACAATACACTAGAGAACAGACTTGAGTCGTTAAGGGGGACCGGAGATTCGCGGCGCAAATCGAATCACCTTTTTCTATACGTATAGAAAATGCACTGAAATTTAATTTACTTGGGAAAATATTCAAAAAGCGAAGAAATTTATATTTTTGATAAAAAAAAACAAGTATGAATACATTTTTATTTACTCCATTTACTTCAAAAAATGTGGGCATCATTGCACTGTTGTCCAAAACTTGTTTATTATTAGGTACTTATTACAAAATGTTAAAAGTTAAGTAAATATTTATTCTGCTATATTTTCTACAAATGTTCAAAACCAAAAACGGTTAGAACTCTCCGAACAGGGCGGGCCGTCTCTATGAAGGGGCTCAAACAAAACTCCGTCCAATCTTAACATTTTTTAAGCAAATGTTAAAATACGTGAATAGCGTAAATCTTAAACAAACAGCTTGTTGTATATGCATTACTTATACACTATCAGAACTCTTAATATTAGTCCGCCTGACAAGGAGAAATTCATTTAAAAAATCGACTTAAATTTTCATAAATTTAAAAAATGTTGGGTAAAACAATCTGTTCTTCACATTCAGTTGATTTCAAAATGCTTATTTCAACGTAAGCAGGGGAAAACATCTCAATTTTTGTAGCGAAATAAACCTGTAGAGATATGTAGAACATGATTTTAAAAATAATGAAAAAAATTAATGCCACAAGTTACATTTGCTTTGATAGTAATTCAGACATTGCAATCTATACAGGTAGACCTCCTTACGAGCAACCTTGTCTTCATTGTGCCGTGAATAGTCATAATTTATTTTTGGTTTATTATTATTATTATTTTTTTTTTTTTTTTTGGAAAATACTTGTAATTCAATTCAGCGGACTAGAGGAATTCAAATTACAGATTTAATTTGAATTAATGCAGGCATAATTCAGCGGGAGTCTCTGCATGTCGTGCTCTTGTTAAAGGGTTTTTTATTTTATAGGCCTAATAAGAAATATTACTCTTTTTTGTTCAATAAATACCTACTACCATGGTACAATGAAGAGAAGGTAGGCCAACTTTGAAAAAATTGCAAGTATAGAGGTCTACCTGTCTGGCTGGTAATGTCAGAATTAGTATCAAAACAATAAAAAAATCAAACAACTTGTTGCATTTATTTTGAACAAATAACTGAAAACCGCGAAAACTGAATGAAAGGTCAACAATTCTTTTCAAAATCATGTTCTATATATCTCTAAAGGTTTATTTCGCTACAAAAACTGTAGATATTGTCGAGGCATACGTCGAAATAAACATTTTGAAAACACCCGAATTTGAATATTTTCTGAACAATTTTTTTGTTATTGAAAAGAAAACACATAAATACATAAACAAATAAAGATGACATATTAAGCCAAGAAAATAAAAAAAAATTAAATCATATGGTATCATAGCCCTACCTTGATATCGTTGTACCATGCCTACTACTACTTCAGACCAAATTTGTACTCAGTACCAGTATATATTGCAATGTTTCTAGAATAAAAAGTGTGCCAACAACAATTATCTTTTGACGAGTATTTTATTTTTACATGTTTTGATACACATATAAAATAGTTTAACAACAAGCAATACACAAATGCAATAACAATGTCTTATCTGGGACACATGGCATGACGTCCACCATCAACTGGCAAGCTGGCTCCCGTGATAAAGCTAGCCTTATCACTGGCCAAAAAAGCAATTACTCCGGACACTTCATCTACTTGTCCGGGGCGACCCAAGGCATGTGTTGTGCGGGAGTGTTCCAAAAACTTGGCATATGTCGCTTCATCCATGCCTCCCCTCTTATGAATTTCAGTGATAATAACACCTGGGTTAACACAATTGCAGCGAACGCCCTTTGGTGCCAGTTCAAGGGCAACGCAACGTGTAAACTGATCAACGGCTGCCTTGGATACGTTGTATGCTAGCACACCGGGAAAGGAACGAATGCCATTAACACTCGAAACATTAACAATGGAACCTTTGGTCTTGATCAATTCCGGAACAGCCAACATGGTCAGCTGATAAACAGCTCTAATGTTTGTGTTCATGACACGATCGTATTGCTCCAAACTGGTATTTTCAATGGTGCCGGTCTCAAGAACCCCAGCATTGTTGACTAAGACATCAATTTTACCATATTTTGCCAGGGTTTCGGTGACAATACGTTTTACGTCATCCTCGTTGTTCATATCGGCTTTTACCAGAAGAGGAGCCTGCCCCTTTGCAGCCGTTATTTTATTGGCTGTTTCCTGGAGTTTATCAGCATTGCGTCCAACAATGGTTAGCAGAGCTCCTAATTCGGCAAAGTGCACAGCTGCACCGGCTCCAATGCCGGAACTTGCTCCAGTTACAATGACTACCTTGCCGGAAAATTCCATGATACTAAAGTGGTGATCGTCTAATTGATTGTTATGTATGGAATGTATATCTGTCGGGGGCATATACATACATATACGACATACATATATGGTTGTATTCCACAGGCACTTGAACACAATCGACGAAATGTCAAAGACAAGTTTGACATTAAATCTTCTGCGATACAGCTGTTCTTATACACCCTACATTATGGGGGAGAATTTATTAAGTTCATCATTCCATTTATAACACCCATCTATATATAAAACATATATTTTAGATAAGTTGTGAAATGAGTCTAAAATATTGTGCTACAGAATTGCATGTCCTTTTGCATTTGTTCGAAGGTGAGGTGATGAGATATAGTTAATTTTAAAATCCTCATAGAACCACTTTCTGAGTCGTTCTATGAATGTCCTCCTGTCTTCTCATGTTCGTAACACATCAAAGATGAGGTGTAAGTATAGTTAATTTTAAACTCCTAATAGAATTACTTTATGAGAAAGTTTGTCAAATCTTGGTTTGAATGAAGGTATAGCCTCCATATATATTTTCATCCAAAGTAATGTAAATAATGTAACAATCCTTCATCAGTTGTTCAAAAATATGAATTTTGAGTCGTGTAATCAAGTTCCGACTAGAATAAATTATATTTGATATGAAAATCACCTACACCCAAAAATTGGCCGATTAAATGTAGAGGAAATAAATTTATTTTAAATTTAAACCACTCTTAAGTCTTGGTCAGTCGAATAGTTTATTTTAGCATCGCCTAATATGAGTTTTCAAAAATTTACTTCTGAACTCACAGTCGAAGCTTTTATTATATAAATGTTTCGTGTTTAGATTCCTCAAAGCCATGGCATACTAGGGCCAAAACTAAAAACACCCTTTCTAATCGAACATTTGTTGATTTTAATGTATGGTAGAGTGCATTCAAAGTTCGATGCGAATTTAACATCGCTTTTGCTTGTTTATTACGACGCCTGCTAAACAGCTGACAAACTCCATAAATTGACAACCGGCAACGTTAGTTCAAACCTGTTAACCATTTTCCTTCCAACACGACATGAATTTTTCTGGAAAAGTTGTTCTTATTACTGGAGCCAGCTCTGGAATTGGTGCTGCAACGGCACAAGAATTTTCCAAACTTGGAGCGCAGTTGGTTTTGGTTGGACGCAATGTGGAAAAACTTCAGGAGACAGCGGCAAAATGCCTCAATCCAGAAAGTCATTTGCAAATTAAGGCTGAAATGACCGATGAAAATGATGTCCAACGGATTATCAAGGAGACCCTGGAGAAGTTCCAGAGATTAGATGTTCTGGTCAATGCCGCAGGCATCATCGAAAATGGCACCATAGAAAATACTTCATTGGAGCAATTCGATCGTGTCATGAATACAAATGTACGTTCCCTCTATCATCTGACCATGCTGGCAGTGCCTGAACTGAAAAAGACCAAAGGAAATATTGTGAACATTTCCAGTGTCTGTGGTTTGCGTTCATTCCCCAATGTTTTGGCCTATAACATCTCCAAGAGTGCTGTTGATCAGTTTACTCGTTGTGTGGCACTGGAATTGGCTGCGGCTGGGGTGAGGTGTAACTCCGTGAATCCAGGTGTTATTGTCACAGAGCTACATAAACGTGGTGGTATGGACGAGGAAGCCTATCAAAAGTTCTTGGAACATTGTAAGGCCACACATGCCTTGGGTCGGGCCGGTGAAGTGGATGAAGTAGCCGGGGTTATATGTTTCTTGGCCAGTGATAAGGCTAGCTTTATAACCGGTGTTAATATGCCGGTGGATGGTGGTCGTCATGCCATGTGTCCAAGATAAATGAAAAGATTTTGTGTATTTGTTTGTAAATATGTATGTTTTGTCAAATAAACGCATGTTTGTATGTAAGATGGAAGTATTTTAATGATAGAAAACAAGTCTAATTTGGCAAACCTGCCCGCATGAAATTTGTGTTTGTTTTGGTGATTTATGAAAGGATATCGTTTATACCAAATAAGATCGTTTCAATTTGACATCGGTTGAAACATACACATACTTATAAAAGAATCGATTTAAACTAAATTTAATGGTAGTATATCTGGTTTGTGGTATGTATATGGGTTATATCTGAGGGAATTATTATAAACCATTTATTATTATTATTATTATTATTATTATTATTATTATTATTATTATTATTATTATTATTATTATTATTATTATTATTATTATTATTATTATTATAAACCATACAATATTATGTAAAAAATTGCAAAACTTGTAGATTCTTAAAAGTTCTGGAACAGTTCATATGTCTTGCATATATCAAATTGCAACATTTTTAGACGATTTAACCCTGTTCGTCCGTTGTAATCACGCTAGAGTCAAAACGAATATAGATAGGAAGCTAAATTTTGTTGTCTTTTGTCTGCAGGCAGGTCAAGTTCGAAGATGGGGTATATCGGTCCTCGATATCGTCCAGCCCCCATATAACGGAACCCCCAATATTAGGTCTTTTGACAATTGTAGCCAAATTTTTCAATGAAATTGTCTGAAAATTCACAAAAGGTGTTCCTTCTGAGTACTTTACCACCTGGACTAGTATTTTCTGTATAGGTCCACGATGTCGTATATCCCCCATATAACGATAACTATCTAAATTCGGCATTTTGATGATTGAAGCTACATTTTTAAATGGAATTGTCTAAAAATCCATGCTAGAATAATGTCTATATAGGTCTACGATATCGTATAGCCCACATACAGCGGTACCCCTCCGATATTTGACGATTTTAGGGACATTATTTACCGGAGTTGTTTCAAAATTCGTATTTAGAATTCGTAATGGGTACTTCAGCCTATGACAAAAAATTGAGTATGCAGACCCATGTCTTCATAGAGACTCCAATATAACTGCTATATTCGGTATTCATAAGATTGTAAGGATTTTTTTACAATTTTCAAAATTTTCAATTTTTTAATTGTTATACTTGAAATAGGTAAAGGAGAAGCTAAAGCTATATGTGCATCAATATATACTGTTTTTAACAGTCGGACTTCTTGTATTAACTCAACTCTACATGTAATAACAGAATCTGACTATGAAGATAATCAAAAGTTGCTATAACTCCATCTAGTCACCTTTTTGTTGGAAATCAGTGCAGTGTAAGGTGTAACAATAGTCAAAAAAAAAACTTTTCCTTCATTCTCATTTACTAAGCTCTTCGTAAAAAGAGGATTTTTTGAAATATTTTTGAGGGACTATCAAAACATTCCTATATATTGTCTTAGCAGAACTGCAAGAATGTAAAAAATTTTACCACTATAACCGATTATACCTTTATGAAAATTGTAAAACTAGCATGTTCTGGAACCGATCAAAAGGCAAACGAATTAATTCTTGGAATATATAATTTCTGTTTTGTTCGTGTTTTTTGCTCGACAAAAATTTTCCTCAAATTCTTCATAAACATAATTCCATGACTTCGAATGTTATTTGCATTTTTTCGATATGGTTTCGAATTTATTTCTTTTTTGCTATGGAATAAGATTTTAAAGGTGCTACCCAGATCCAAAACCGCAAATGTGTTGCGGTTGAGTATTTAGAAGAGCTCCTGTAACCAAAAAAGGTTATAGTGGCAGTTTATGTGAATGATATGACTTCGATACGGATTATATTAAAAACCAGTAAAGAAAGTCTTAACTTCGGACGTGGCCGACTTTATGATACCCTACATCACTTTGCTAATTTAGTAGAGCTGCGCATAACAACTAAAAGTTTTTATGGGAGAATTCAATCATACACGCCATGATTATAATTATAATTATAATTTAAAGTTCAAAGGACTAAATATGCCGAAGCATTTGTATCTTTTAAATTCGGAAATCGGATAAAAATATATATGGGAGCTATATCCAATTCAGAACCGATCTCGATAAAATTTGGCAAATATATTTCTGAGCTGTATTTGATATATTTCCCTGAATATCGTTGTTACGGAGTGCATACTACGGTTGTGGGTAACAAATATAATAAATCAGATATATAATATGTATTCAATTCGGTCGTAAGTACCAAATTTCATCCCATTTGGAGAAATATTAGACATTTTGTGCACAATAAAATGTAAATCGGACGAAGTTATATATGGAACCTATAGCCAAATCTGAACCGATCTCGATAAAATTTAGCAAATGTATTTCTGAGCTGTATTTTATATATTTCCCCAAATAATATTGTTACAGAGTGCATATTACGGCTGCGGAGGACAAAAATAACAAATCGGATGAACAATATATATGGGAGCTATAGCTATATCTGAACCGATTTCGATCAAATTTGGCATACATATTTTCAGGCCTAATATGGGTGTATATGCAAAATTCCATACAATTCTGATATTACACGTTTGGTGCACAATAAAAGGCAAATCGGGCGAAGATATATATGGGAGCTACATCTAAATTTTGACCGATTACCACCAATTTCAATAGGGTTCGTCCTTGGGCCAAACAAAAGATCTTTGCAAAATTTCATCTGGATCGGGCAATAAATGCGATCTGTACTTTGTTTACAAAAATACAAGGAAAGACGGACGGACGGACATGCATAAATCGACTCAGAATGTGATTCTATGCAGATCAGGAACTATGGGTCTATCTCGTTTCCTTCTGCTTGTTACAAACAAATGCACAAAGACATAATACCCTGACCACCTTGTGGTGTAGGGTATAAACACATAAAATGCATAAAATCTGTATTTGAATGTAGTATGGTCATATCATGCAAAATTTGATCGCGACTGCCTGCGTTTGTGCTCCCTACCTGTGACAAAAATCAAAAACCTAAATACCAACTCTGCGCATGTTCTGTGCATTAATTTTTACAATTTATTCAATTTTTATTAAATGAAAATCGTTCCTGCAATTCTGAAAATTAAAAAATTAGTAGATACATGCAGGTTCTGAAACAGACAAATAGACTTCTAACGTAAACAACAATTGGTCTTATTTATTTCACAATTTCACAGCACATATGTGCTGTCACGTTTATTATTAACTTATGTCAAAATTTTCATTTCAAATGTGCTTTTATATTTTTGCACACCAAAACAAAGAAGACTTTTCATTATATATTATTTTGAATGTTCTTGAAGAATTGGGCGATGGAGAAGAAAGACACACAATAGAATTGAAATCTTATAATGGTATGCAAACCAATATCCAGAAGACTACAATTGAATCCACAACGAAAACTTCTGTTGCCATTGTTCCACCCAACACATTGAATATTAATGTTAAACCACAATCCGTTTTAAAAGGTCTGAATGAAAACATAGCTATCATTTATTTAAAAAGTAAAAGACTATGCGGATCTTCTTTAAGCAGAATTATTGATTTTTTTTTTTTGAAAATCTGATAGAAGATCTCTATACCTAATCATAGAAGATATTCTTACGAAAGTCCTGAATATCTGTTTGTTGCATAGATTAAAATCTTCAAACTTTCCCACACAATGCATTTAGATTTCGCCCATAGAAGATCTGTAAATCAACTCTTAGAATGAAGATCTTAAGATCTTCCTTTATTCCATTGCAATAATAATAATTTCTCTCAAACCATCGTAGGCTGTGATGTTCGTGTAAATGAAAATCCCATCAAAAGACCAGCACAAAATGTTTTTAAACAAAACGATGAACCGACAACATCAAAACGTCCAAAAGGTATATCTTAAAATAATAACAAATACAAATTATTGATATTAAAATTTTATAACACAGTTGATGCATTTACAGGTCAGCAGGAGGTAAATGGCGAAAATAGAAATGCACACATTAGCAAAGGTAGGCATATTTAATTTGAACAATAGTTCATATGACAACATTTCTTATTTTTCACATTTCAGGTGGCAAAGAAAGCTGTGGGAAAATTCTCTTTGAAAATTTATACAACAAAAAGGTCAAGCTATGTCCCGTAACAATATCGGAATTTCGAAAATACACCAATGTTGATGCTGTAGCAAATGTGTTGCACAGTGTTATTGGATTTTAAACCGGCTACTTACCCCCCATGAGCGTTCAAATTGAGTAATCAAAACAAACATGAATAGGAGACGAGGTAAAAGACGATGATGATGGCGGCGATAAGAGACAATCTATAAAAAATTATAATAATATACACCAAGAAAAAAGAAGAAAAAAAAAATCAGACGATCTCAAACAATTGTGGAGAAACGCACGGTACGGTAAGTATTATAAAAAAGAAACAAACAAACATATTACGCAATTGTATAATTAATGGGCTTTTTGAAATTAATTGTAATTCCGGATTTTTTAGCGATAAGATGAATTTTGCTGGCAAAGTAGTTCTTATTACCGGCGCATCATCGGGTATTGGTGCTGCCACCGCTGTGAAATTTGCCCAACTTGGTGCCACATTGGCTTTGAACGGAAGAAATGTTGAGAATTTGGAAAAGGTAGCCAAATTGTGTGCCAACGAAGGAAAGAAACAAACACCCCAGCTGGTGGTGGGCGATATTTCCAAGGAAACTGACACTGAACGAATTTGGCAAGAAACTTTGAAGAAACATCAACGTCTGGATGTGTTGGTCAACAATGCCGGCATCATTGAAACGGGAACAATTGAAAACACCAGTTTGGAACAGTTTGATCGTGTCATGAATACAAATCTCAGATCTATATATCATTTGAGCATGTTGGCTGTACCGGAATTAGTTAAGACCAAGGGAAACATTGTCAATGTTTCCAGTGTGAATGGTATTCGTTCATTCCCCGGTGTCTTGGCATATAATATTTCCAAAATGGGTGTTGATCAATTTACTCGTTGCGCTGCCTTGGAATTGGCTGCCAAGGGGGTGCGCGTCAACTGTGTAAATCCTGGTGTGACTGTTACCAATCTTCACCAACGTGGTGGCATGGATGCGGAAACATATGCCAAATTTTTGGAACATTCGAAGACAACACATGCTTTGGGCCGCCCCGGTACGGCTGATGAGGTAGCCAATGCTATTTGTTTCTTGGCCAGTGATTTGGCTTCGTTTAGTACCGGAGTTAGTTTGGCTGTTGATGGTGGTCGTCATGCCATGTGTCCCAGATAAATTCGGCGGCTTTCGTTGCGTTTTTATATTGTTTTTGTTATTTAAAGTGCCAACACGTTTTGATTATTGGAGGACAGTCTCGTTAATAAATTTGTGTATATAAGAACAGTCTTATGCTGATGTCTGAATTTTGCATTTAATATATTGTATTTTTGATACATTGCGATTTTATTAAGCAATTTAAATAAACTACCTATAAATATATTGTTTTCTTCGATCATTTTAAATCTTTTATATATTCTACATCAATTTACAGATTTCAGGAACATAGCCTTAAGAAAATAATGTTATGTTGTAGTAACGGGCAAAACAAGGATTTAAAAAAAAAGTATTTTGGAGAGACAATCGAAACATTCACCGTTTATTACCGAAAAAAATCGGATCAGCAGATGTCGCCTATGTCGTTTTAGGAGTGAAAATATTAAAGTCACTCAAATCTTAAAATTATTAACAACGGCAAAATGTATGCCAGGTAAAAAGTTCCATAATAAAATATTACAAAATGACATCGAAAAATACGGGAATAATCAATTGAAATTGGTTTTCGAAGTCGAGTTAGTCGACTGGCTTCATCACCTTGTTGACTAGGCGAAAGCATGCTGACAGCCATAAGACAAAAGTAACATTCCGTTTTGCTATATATTCAATAGTCTATGGCTATCCTATATAACACCAATCGCAGATTTTAGTTTGAAATTTTAGTATTGATTTTGTTAAAGGGCATAACAAGTTCAGAATGAGATCTTCAAAGCCTTCATTGGGTTTGACCAGGGGTAATGAACGATATTCCTAGGGAAGGGATTCAAGATATGCCTCTTCTTTTTTTTTCTCAATTCGAGGTATGCCATTTAATGGCTTAAAATCTCCTTAAGTCTTTATTGGGTAAACTTAGCTCAATTGACCCAGACAGCTCTTATCGGTACGATCTCACAAACATATTTGTTTGTTTTCTCTATCGTCATCAATTTCATAGCTCAACACTAGGAGTAGGCAAATATAAAAAAAAACAATGCAAAATAAAACGCTTTTGAACAATGTTTTCTCATGAATACATGCTGAGATTTAAGGAGGTTTAAATATTAATTTTATATGTGGAAAGTTACCATTAAAGTCGAGACCGGGCGATGTCATATACTGGAAATATCTAAAATCTCTATATAGGACAGTGCCAAAAGACTATTAATACAGTGTTCTATATTGAAATGTCAAATTACCGAAACAGCAACACAGTGGAAAATGTGACTTAATACTCCAGGTAGGCTTAAATTCGGTGGCACTTGATGTGGGGTTCAATATATATATATCAATGTAAAACCATATTGCAAAATGTGATTTCAACTGACAGGCTGGGTTTAATTGCAGCCTAAAAATATGCTATAATTTGCTATGTCAAAGAAAAGACAATTATGAACACACTCCACCATCAGATTCGTGGTAATTTGAATTTTGGGGATCTTATTGAGAGAAAAGCTTACCTACAAAACAGTAATTAATACTTCACATTTCACATAGCTACCTTTTGTATCTTGAGTTTGTACCCGGTAGCGGATTATCGGGCAAAATTATTCAGTATTTACTGACCCTAAAACATTTGCCATGTTACGATGGTTGACGGCTTTGTTCACCACCTCCACCTTGAAAAGGAGGGTATATTAACTTTGTATGAAGAATATATATACATGATCAGCATAAAATTCTAAGTCGATTTAACAATGTCTCCCTGTCTGTTGAAATCAGGATAGAGTCCACATTATTTGACGTAGAGCTTAAAATTTTGGCAGAACAATTTGTATTGTGTCTAGGATGGTTGGTATTGAAAATGAGATATATATCGGTCCACGTTTTGGAATATCCACCATATAACGGTACCCCCCGATATTCGGTATTTAGATGATTTTTGTCATATTATTCCACAGACTTGTCTAAAAATTGGTATTTGTTGGTCATCACGGGTTCTAGCTTCGGTGGCGAAACATTGTATGTATAGGTCCACGTTTTTGCATAGCCCCTATATAACACTACCTCCCGATATTTGGTATTTTGATGATTTTTGCCATATTTTTTTACCATTTTTTTCTAAAAATTGGTATTTGTTGGTCATATGGATTCTAGCTCCGGTGGCGAAACATTGTATGTATAGGTAAACGCTTTGGTATAGCCCTCATATAACACTACCTCCCAATATTCGGTATTTTGAGTATTTTTGTCGCATTTTTGCACTGATTGTCCAAAAATTGGTATTTGTAATTCGTAATGGGTTCTAGCCCCTGTGGCATATAATTCCTGGCGCATATATAACAATACCTAACGATACTCGGCATTTTTATAATCCTAGCCACATTTACCCACGAAATTGTTTCAAATTTTGTATTTAAGAAGATTTGGTAGATGACAGGTATAAAATTGCCTATATAGGTTCCCGATTTGGTATGTCATACAACGGCACCACCCACTTTAAGGTTTTTGAAAAGTTCAAAGTTCGTCCAGGCCGAACTTAATGTCCATTTTTATATCCAAAGTTTTCCATCAAGTCTCCACAAATAATACATCTGGTTTTTAGTATATAATGTATTAATATTTATTATATTTAGTATTTCTTTTCTTTTTTTTTGTTCAATAAAGTGTCTCTTTTTTTCTGGAGTAATGATTTTCTTTTGCAACTTTTTATTATTTAGTTCATCTTTGTCTTCTTCTTATCAACTCATTGGATTTATTTAAAACTAAATCTCGTCTATATAAAACTATACCGATGCTGTGTTTTTGTTGTTGTTGTTATTATTATTATTTTCTTCATCATATGAGGGAGGAGGTGTGCACATCTCGAACGTTTCTCTTTAAATTCTGAAACAGCTCAAGTTGTGCAAAGTTTTAATATACGTGTATATATTTTAAGAATTTATTAAATAATATTAATACTAAATTACATTGGTTTTATTGGTTTCAAGTGTTAATAATGTTGAAGTATGTGTCTGTGTGTAGGTTTGTTATGCATTTAACAATTATTGTAACTTAAAATCCAACTAATATATAGTCATAGATTTTTCATTTATATATTACAAATACAAAACAAGCAGTTAACTTAAATGTATATATATATTTTTTTGTTATTTTTTTCCATAGTTTTAAAGCTTCCATTTTGCCATAAAACTATTGTTTCCAGAAGCAGTCATTATAATTTGTTTTTGTTTTGTTATAGGTTGATAATTGGTTCCTCTACAAATAGGCATAAATATTAAATTATACATACAAATAGGATATACATAGGAAATTTAAATAGGATTTGTTTCCTTTTCCCGTTTAGTTGTTTTTTTTTTTTCAAATGAAGGATGAGTTGGTTTTAATGATGATTTATAGTGGTTTAAAAAATAGATGTTTTTTTTTTAATTTCTTCAATTTTAACAATGCGTCGTTCAAAAGGAGATGTTTTTTTCTTTATTATACTCTTCTTGCAAAAGCCAAAATAAATTAAAAAACAGAAATAAAATCCAATGCAAAGGTATGCCAAAACAACATTAATGTGTATTCATTTAAAAAAAGTAATTTTGGAAACAGGGCCATGTATACTGCAAATTGGTGAAATGATTTTCGTCAGCAATTACCTCTTATTTCGATATTATTTTCCAAATCTTTTTCGCGTTTTTCTAAAGAACTTTTAAAAATAATAATCCGTATGTTCTACATAACAACATCAACTAACTTTTTTATTCCGAAAAAATTGTTGAAATTGCCATATTTCTTTGTGGGGAAGGAATTACTCATACTTTCATTTAATTCGTTGCTCAAATTATTGAAATGAAAGTGAAATTCCATTTAATAGAATTGCATGTAGAAATTGCCACCCGGTGACCCTTAAGTGGCGTGCATTTAATTGGTGTGGGTTTTACAAAATCGCACATACCGTGGGACTACAAAAGAAAGTAAATTGTAGAGAACGTATTCGAATAATTTGTAGGTCAAATTATGAAAATTACACATTTATTAAATTTGAAAACAATTTGATTTGGAAATGCAATTATATTCAATTTCTTTTTGCAAAATAAATGAAGATTTTAAATTATGCGGAAATAACAAAACAAATTCGGTATCCCAAGTAAAGGCCAACACTATTCTCAATTCAAATTATTTGTATTTCTTTGGGAACAGAACATCGAAATGCAATCTATAAACATTTTTGAAATGACATGTGTGGATAAAGAAACATAGAAATTATAAGAACTCCAGATTTTGGGTTGAGAACTCAAGACACCAAATTTAGGATAGCATATCTCTCTAACTCGTGCCTACGTATGTTCTTTTCAAATTCATAGGTGTTGCACAAGTACGTATGAGACAGAATACAACTTGATCATATTTTACAAGATTGATTGAACATTAAAAACCTATTAATGTCATTTATGTATCGGAAAAAACTGATATTTTCAGACAACTCTGGTCTTAATATCCCAAGATATTAACCATTTTACCTCTATTTAGGTATATTGTCTTTACATTTTTGCGTTAATGGCTAAAACAGACTTCTGAGTCTGGGTTAAGATAAGACATACAGGGTGAGATGAAAAAAACTGCAACCAACTCGTATTAATCGACCGTGGCATCAAAATAAATGCCGAATATTATCGCGAAAATATTCTGGAGGATGTATTAAAGCCTTGGGCACACAAACATTTTGGCCGCAGAACTTGGACATTCCAACAGGACTCAGCACCCGCCAACCAAGAATGGTTACAGAATCAGGTTCCTCGCTTCATTTCCAGCGCACCACCAAAATTTCCGGATACCAATCCGTTGGACTGTTGTGTTTGTAGTATTTTGGAAAGCAAGGTTGGCACTAAAAAATACAAAAGTGTCGATCACCTCAAGCAAGCGATTCGCCGGGAATGGGCCAAAATACAGCAGAGCAACATTCGGTCAGCGTATGACGGCTGCATTGGCCGCATGCATGAAGTCCATAATTCGTGGCAAAGGTGATCAATTCGAATAAATCTAAACAAATTCAAAAATTTGATGCTATTTCCGATATTTTTTGCTTTCATTCAATAAAATTAAAAAAATATATATGTAAACATTTTGGCGTTTGACTTTGTTGCAGTTTTATTTTTATCTCACCCTGTACAGGTTGAGTTCATCATGACCTAAGATATTTTCCTATGAAAATAGAAATTCCAAAATATTCATTGAATGTATTAGATCAATGTATTTTTTTTATTATTGATTCTTTTTTTAAACTTTTCATTTAGTATTTTAAAAATTATTGGCTGTCTGTATTGCAATGGAAATAAAAAACAATACACATAAATGCTAAACAAAAACTAAAATAGAATGTTAAAAAACAAATTTAAATGTTAAATTGTTTATAAAATAAAAATCAGTAGCTAAGGTTGTTGAGTATCAACTTTATGAGAGGATGAATTAAAAAAGACAGAAGAAACAAAAGTACACAATAAAAATCGCCGAGACTAGCTTAACAAAAGATTGAGATTAATAATAGACATGCTAAAAATAAGAATTGTTTGTTGATTGTTTTCGAGTAAACTCCAAAGTTCTCTTGAGTAAATGATGATGTTTGTTTTGGTAGTATTTTTTTATATTTTCATTTTTATAGTATTTTTTGTGTTACTTATAAAATAACTTTATATTTAATGAGTTGAGAGTTTTCATTGTTTTTTGCCAACTAAACAAAGTATAGGTTTTTGTTTATTTCTGTTTTAAAGCGCCTTTTACGTTCTTTTTTCAAGGATAGTGTGTGAAAGGGAGAAAAAAAAACAACAACCAGAAACTCTATCCATACAAAATAATAATAAAAAAACAATAAAAAGTTCTATGTGCGCTTTAGTTTAGATTTCTTATTATTCGTTTTTTTGTTTGTTTTGTTGTTGTTTGTTTTTTTTTTTTAGTTAAATCATCGCTTAGGCAACTAAAATACAAATTAGAAAACATTAAATAAATTAATTAGTATTATTATTATTATAATGTAAAAAATATCATCTCTCATTGCGGACTAGATTTCAATTCTGCTAGAAATTGAAATCGAATCCTCGTGATTCTCTTTAACTTCCTTGGCCCGATATTAATTCATCACATATCTTAACAAGCTCTGCATTTTCTTTAGATTTTTGGGCCAGTTGCTCGCTCATAGATGATCGCGCAATCTCTTCTTTTTTAAGTAAGGCTTTCAGTTTTGTTGTCTCCAATTGATGCTCTCGTGCCAGAGCTTCTAGTTTTTTATTGGCTCTGGAAAGGAAAAACGAAAAAATAAATGGAAACAATCGCATTAATAGAAGAACACAATATCATTAATAAAAGAAGCATCCCAAAGGAATATTTTGAGCCACTGCTCTCCCCCCTGATATGGCTTCTGGTGATCAATAAAATAATTATGAGTTTCGAATAAGTTCGAATAAAGCCAGCCGAATATGTCGAGGACGTTGTGAGTTAGCATCAGGTGATCAATCAAATACTTATGAGTTTCGAATAACTTCGAATAAAGCCAGTCGCATATGTCGTAGTGGGTTAGATAAGTGGTAGATTTCTTCAAACTATTTCAGATCAAATGCATAGTGCACTAATACAGCTGTCTCGCTGGTTTTGCCCTAAACAATGGTCTTGGGGTTAACCCTGCAAAGACTGTATCTGCAAACAAGGATCTTATTGTGCTTTACGTAGGAACGCCATAGGGAAGAGTTGGAGACATAGACCAAAGTCATACACTGGATGTACGTCACAGTGGTCTTACCTGTTCTGACCTATGGGAGTCTCGTCTGGTGGCATGCGTTTGAATTCAGAACGTTCCTGTTTGCCGGAGGATGGATACTAGGTGAAGGTTATACAATTGGCGATCGCATGTCCAACATTTTCGACTTCAGTTATATTGACTTAAGATAAGTTATAGGGACACCTGGGCTGATGGTGAACCTCCTCTGGAATCTGGCCAAGAACCAATGACTATGTCGATTATTATGCGGTCCTTTAGGCTATCTAGACTTTTAATCGAGAGCCACTCTTGACTGCAAAGAAGCCCTCATTGAAATACGTGGTGGCTGATGAATTAGCTCAAGGTGGTTCCCAGTCAATTAATCTACCGATTGATGAGACTGTTTAACCACCAAAAAGCTTTCATCTCATCGGCTTCAAAAAACCTCTTATCAAAATAGTTGGAAGAATATGGCAGTTAGATATCGGTTGTAGAGTACCTAAGGCCATCTGGCGTTAATCTAGAGAAGAAGAACAAGCTCCCTTCCATCATTTAGTGAGTCTGATCTAAGAATCGCGGTAGGCAGGTATCTGACCTTAAGATGGGATGACAGTGTTTCTGACTACTATAGAATATATGAAGATGAAGAAGAGATAGATGTCCCATGCTATCCACCAAGGGATATAGGCTATTATTTTCAAAAAAAATATACCCCATCACCATCCACAAGTTTGCCAAACATTTTTCCTGGCTAAGCAGTCCACCCTGTTAACTGTACTGTACTCTCCCTATAAACCCTTCATCCTCTTTTTTCTATCTTTCTTCGAGTGAAGTAGTTGCGGATTTCCGTACAGCTGTCCATCTTAAAATCAAACCAAAGATTTCCTGGGGTATTACCCAGACAACCAGTCCTTTTACTTCTTTAAAACTACTTACATTTCCAATTGTTGCATTGCATGATTTTTCATTTTATCATATCGTTGCTCCTGTAATCGCAGATTTTCGGCATTTTTACGATTTTCTGCTATTAAGTTTTCTTCATTTCCTTTTAATTGGCAGGTCATTTCTTTGCTCTTTTCATATTTTCTACAAAGAACAAAACATATTATATTACAAACAAAAAATGTTTAAATGTTCAATATACTTACACATGCAAATCGGAAAATGTGGTTTCCAGTGATGTTAAATGATGATAATTTGAATCACGATCGGCCTTTACTTCGGCCAATTGTTTTTCATAATTCTGTATTAACTGTTCCTTTTCGGCAATTAATTCAGCTATGGCTTTTTCATATGCTTCAATTACCCCACTGTACAAAAAAAAAAAAAAGAGATTTGATTAACACCATTAAAATTAATTAAAAAAAGAAAAACTTACGTCATTTTCGCCACAGTTTTGTCTTTTTCTGTGATACGTTTTATTAAAGCTTCTTCCCTTTGTTCAGCTTCTCTCAGTTTCTTTTCAATATCCTCAGTTTTGAGACTGAAAAAATAGAAATAAAATTAATTTTTAATTACAATATTGTGTGGCAATTTTTGGCAATCCGCAAGTGAGCTAATGTATTACAAATATCAACAAGTTGTATATTCCATTATGGAGTGTTTAATTTGCACCAAATATGTACTCAAACAAATTGCTAAAAAAAAGATACACGAACCAATAATGAGTCATTTACAAGCAACAGAACAAGAATAATGCGACAGCAAAGGTCAGATTGCCGCAAACACTGTTTCCAATTTTTTTAGTTGTAATTATTTTCGAAGGCCAATAGAATGGCACTGTTGTAAAGAAAATAATTAAAAACAAAGGTAAAGGAACAAAGACCGAATGGAACAAGCTACCACCACCAGCTGGAAGAAGATCAATCATCTCTACCACAATTTGTAGCCATGCCAAAAAATTATTGTCAAGCTACCAGACCAATTTGGGATCTCTTTTTCATACAAAACGAGAAAACAATTGAAGGGTTTCTTAATCTATGATGACAACAATTGTTTATTATACAAGTATAGCCTCTACATTTCTTTGACCCTTTGGACTATTCCCAAGTTTTCAAGGTTATGTGCCATTAGTAGCAGCAACATGTCGGAAACAGTGTGCAAAAAGAGTGTGTGCTGACAACATGTGGAGAACGAACATCTCTGTACATTCATTCATTCAATACAAACAAAAATGACAAAAAATGTTGATGACACAAAACGAGAAAAAAAGCCAGGAAGAGTTTGATACATACAGAAAATCGATAGGGATGCAATATAGAAGATAAAGCTTGTGGTTTAGCTGTTGTGGGGCAGATATTATTCTAAATTATCCGCGATAAATTTATAAAATGGGCGATACATTTCCTAATGGGATTTAAAGGAATAAATCTTATATTTGGTATTCCAAAAAGTACTTGGTTAGGGCTACAACAATCAAAATTAATCCAGATTGCATATAAAAGACACAGCCTGTACAACGTAAAGAAGAATTTTATCAACAGATATATTTCATACGAACGTTGTTGTTTTTAGTTTTGGTAATAGCCAAAGTGTTTCGACTTCCACGGTAACGTTGTGAGACAGAATCTGTTAGAAACGTTCGATAAGATTGAAAATAAACAGGAAAATAGTTTCCTAGGGAAGGTATCACAAAAATTGGAAGGTTATACTTCATTTTGGGTGTGACGTAAGCTGCACCAAAAGAACTTCTCTAAGTGTGAAAAAACGCAGAATATGACACTAAAATACTAAGGGAAATTATGGGAGGATTCTTTGGAAATATGGTCCAACTCTCTTAATTTGTCTGGGCCCTAGAGTAATTAAAAATTGCAGGCATATGGACTTTGAATATAAATATATATACTTTGTTGGGGTTTTTTTTATAACAGTTGGTACTTTGGCATTCTAAAGAAAATGCAATTTTTGAAACAAGTGACAAGATCACAATTTTTTGATTAACATTTGCAATACCAAATTGCAAAATGGTTACCCTATGTCCTCTATAGAAGAAGTCGCATGTTGGCGGACTATTGTGACTAACATTTCGAGGGATAAAACGGCCCGGAAACTTTTGCTGTAGAAAAACAAGTAAAAAACATTAAATTCGACCGGGCCGAACTTTTAATACCCGCCACCATTGGGTAAAGAAAACATTTTTATATAAAAGTATTTGAATTCAAACTTATTCCACTTTAAACTACAAATACCCGATAATGCTGTTAAATTTTTCAAAAAACCTTAAAGTGGGTTAGGCCGTTATATGGGGAACATTCCAAAACGGGAACATCTATAGAAAATTTTATATTTCGTGGGTAAATGTGACTAGGATTATAAAACCTATACATACAATGTTTCGCCACGGGAGCTAGAACCCATTATGACCAACAAGGACCAATTTCTAAACAAATCCGTTACAAAAATTGGCAAAAATCATCAAAATGTCGAATATTGGGAAGAACCATTAATGGGGGCTATACAAAAACGTGGACCGATAAATCCTATTTTCCATACCAACCATCCTAGACACTATACAAACTGTTCGGCCAAATTTTGAAGCTCTACGTCATATAATATGGGCTCTATCGTGATTTCAAGAGACAGACGGATATCGTTATATCGACTTAGAATTTTATGCTGATCATGAATATACATACTTTATGGGGTCTTCGACGAATATTTAGGGATGTTAAAAACGGAATGACAAATTTAATATACCCTCCTTCTCAAGGTGGAGGGCATAATGAAGGTTCCGTTGCTTATCTGGCACGTAGCACCGAGTTTTTGAATGTAAAATTCGCCAAGTTCAATGACATTCAGTTTCGTCCATAAAACAATTATTAATCATATCTCGATAGCGAAATTCATTCACGGTTACCGTTAGTCCAATGACCCTGCCTGATCATAGACCACACCACACAGTCACACAACAGTGAGGTTGGGGAGGCGGCTTCACAATAAAAAGTTTTGTGATGTGTCCACCGAGGTGGTACTGGGCCTCAATAGTCTAGTTGAGTTTTTCAGTGGAAATAGGGGGTAATATTCTTATTTTTTAAGGATGTCATCAACAAAAAATACGTCGTTGTTCTTGATCAGCCGGCTTCAGATCTTCTGTTAACTCAACTATATAGAACCGAACAAGATTCAAATATTTATGCACAAGGCGGTTTGTGGAATGCCCATAGAATGTACAGGTCCGGGTTTTCTTCAACACTTTGGGTTAGGGCAGAAATATTCTCAGTTGTTATTGAGCAATGTACCGGTGTTTTATTCCACGCATTTTAAACTAATTTCAGCAGCTCTATTTCTATTTTAACAATATCTGTATTGCAGTTCGAAAAGTGCTTCACCACAACCCAAAAAATGGAATGGAATGGTGGAAGATTCCGAAAGAACAAGTAATACAAAAAAGCTCATTTCGTTGGAAACCCTTGTGGAATCCAAAATGACTTTGGATAATATAAACCTTCTGACAAACGAAATATACTCTACATACTATGGTGGAATTGAAAAAAGAAGCATTGGTAGTTCTTTGCTTATATTTTGTGATTTAAACGTTCATGAAAATATAAAAGGAATTAATATTGACCTGAATTTTGCTTATGAATGTGATCAATGCGATGACTGTACCAAGGACAATGTTACAGAAAGTTACAAGATACTGATTCCAAAACAATGTGTATTTAAATTTCTTCAGCACAATGAATATTTAGATCAGGGGCATTTGTGTTTGAGATTTATTGAAGTTTAACTTTCATGTTGGCTGCCATAAATGCAGTGGCCTTCTGTGGACAAGTTATAAAATTCCAAATGCAATCACAACATGCATCAAAAATACAACCCACACCCACGCATTGAAATAATTTTTTTTATGGGGACATACAGGTCATGAATACTTACACTTCATTTTTGACTTTCTTTTCAAGTTCATCCATTTTATAGTTGATCTGTTTATCATCGGGTTGTGTGGAACTATATAAAAGGGGGGAAAAAGAATTTTACACAAGGTTAAGGCCACAACCAATAGAAACGGAAATTCAAACGCAACTTACTTGGAATTTTCAAAGGTTTTATTGCAATCGTTATTATCTAAACTCATATCCTTAATCACATCGACACTCATTGTGGCATTCTTCTGCGAAAAAAAAGTTGAAACAAATAACATACCAAGATTAGGAAATGAATCATGGGAATAAAAAATGATATTATTCATAAAACTAAGTTATACCATACCTTTGTTCCAGGTTGGGGTAATTGACGTTTATTCTGTTGTTGTTGTTGTAGTAACAACTGTTGTTTGACTTCTTGTGACCGTTCCTTTAGCAATTTGGCACTTGAGGATAATGCAGGTCCTGTTACCGATGACCGACCGAAACCACCAACACCACCACTGCTACCTAGCGATGTCCTGGCGTTATCTACAACAAATGAACGATTTGTACTTTCGTTAAGCTCGTCCTCTTCTATGGTTGGACTTAGACAAGGATTATTATTGAGATTAGTGGGTATTTGTAGGTGCAGTTGTTGCTGCTGCTGTTGCGTTTGTTGTCCTTGATTGACCGGCACAGGGCAGCCGAGTAATGGATCAAATTTCAATAGCAACGAACTGCGATCCACTGGTGTATTGTTATTGCCCTTGGTTAGCAGATAATCGAAATCGGATGGATTCAGAATAACTGCGTTGGTTAGAGAGGTGGTCACATCACACACAGGCACACACAAAGTAGATGGATGAATGGTGGGTGTTAAGTGCAACAGAAAAATAAAAACAAACATAGAAAATATTATTTAATTAATTAATGATTAGTGAAATTTGGTTAACAAAAATAGTAATATTTATAAGTACAATCTGTTTGTGTTTATATATATTATATAAGCTGGTGAACACTCATCAGAACACGAATGTTAGTAATTCTACTTTGAATGTATTTAAGAACTATCCCCATACACGGCGGTATGGGGATCGCAAACAAATGTTGTAATCTTCTTATTATTTTGGTGGAACTAATCTGATATTCGAAATGTGGGAGGAAGATATCAACTTAAAAATAATTCAGTACCAAAAGAACCAAAGTAGGGCACTGTTGGCTATGTGATACCCTATACAGAGTGAGATGAAAAAACTGCAACCAACTTCAGACTGCTGCCATTTTTAAGCCACTCGTCCGAGAGCTCTTAAAATTATTCCAGTGACAGTTCATTATATTGTTTACAAACCTACAAAAACTATTTGATTTTTAGATATTTAATTCGACCTTTATTATATATTTTTACAAATTCAAATTTAATAAAAAATGAGCTCGAGGTCTTTGTTGTTGTTTAATTATTTATTATTTTCGATATTTCGTCCTCCAACGGAAGACATCATCAGGAACAATACTGTTTAAACATATAACAAAATTTTACAAAATATCGCTGAGCTTCGACGCCGACCTTGTGTTGCTGCCATCTGTTTTGTCACTGCAGCATTCCCTTCTTATTGTATATCTTTGTTTATTTTTCTAATCAGATGTCTGTAACTGTTTGCTAGATTCTCTGTGTCTGTTTTGTAGTTTATTCGTTGTGATGTTGGAGTATTCATTATGTGTAGAGTTTCCAACATAAGTCGCTTTTGGTAGTTGTTCTCGCACTGTAGCACTCTCACTCTCTCTAATTCTGGAATTAGAGAGAGTGAGAGTGCTACAGAATTAGAGAGAGAGTCCAGAATTAGAGAGAGTGAGAGTGCTACAGTGCGAGAACAACTACCAAAAGCGACTTATGTTGGAAACTCTACACATAATGAATACTCCAACATCACAACCAAAAACATTTTGGTGAGAATTTTCCAGAAAAAAAGTGATTCGTGTTTCGTTAGAGCACACTCCAGCATTTAAATGTGAATGTCTCGTACCATCGTTATCGAGATACTGGTAGCGTAACCCGATTTCAAGGAAGTGGACGGAAAAAAACAGCAACATCAGCAGAAATGGTTCGAAAAATAAAGAAGAGACTTGATCGAAACCCGCGAAAATGGCTCGTGAGCTATACATATTCGGCAAATATTGATACAAGAGCTCGGGATAAAGCCATTAAAATTTCAGAGAGTGCAAGAACTTACACCGCAACGGAACAGAAAGAAAATAGACTCAAAAGAGCTAAGGAGTTGTTTCGCTTGGTCGAAAGTGGTGAACTGCCGAATTTGGTTTTCTCCGATGAAAAAACATTTGTTGTCCAGCAGTTTGGAAACAAACAAAATGATGGTGTTTACTTGCCAAAGAGGTCAGCTGAAAATGTGCAACTTCGGTTGACCACCAGAACTCAAGCGCAGGCCATGGTGATGGTGTGGGCCGCCATAACAGCCGATGGTCGATCAGAATAAATGCCGAATATTATCGCGAAAATATTCTGGAGGGTGTACTAAAGCCTTGGGCACGCAAACATTTTTGCCGCAGACCTTGGACATTCCAACAGGACTCGGCACCATCGCACTCAGCACGGCCCACCAAAAAAGGGTAACAAAATGAGTTTCCTCGCTTCATTCGCACAATGGCCACCAAAATCTCCGGATACCAATCCGTTGGACTATTGTGTCTGGGGTATTTTGGAAAGCAAGGTTTTCCCAAAAAAACCTCAAGCAAGCGCTTCGCCGGGAATGGGCCAAAATACCGCAGAGCAACATTCGGGCAGAGTTTGACGGTTTCTTTGCCCGTTTGAATGCCATAATTGGTGCCAAAGACGACCAATTCGAACAAATCTAAACTTATTTTAAAATTTGATGCTATTTCCGACATTTTTTGATTTCATTCAATAACATTTAAAAATTGTTTTTTTTTCAGTTTTTTTTACCTCACCCTGTATATTAAGCAGATAAAGGTTGAGGGTATCAATCTGTCGACAAACCCGACTGATACTCTTTAACTTGTTTCTGTATCAAACTTAGGTCATTCAGGTCTTCATCCCACAAGAGAACACTATTTTGAATAATCATTACTCATATAAAATGTAAAATTAATATCTAGTTTCCAGCAGACTTAGAACAGCCCCATATTTTTTAGTTGTTATGTCCCTCATCAATAAGACGTAGGGTATATTTATCATTCGGTTTGCAAAACTTTTAAATTTTCCTTGGAGGCACCATAAAATAAATTTAGCCATTTCCGTCTGTATCTCTGTTTGTCGGTGTAGAGCTCCACTATTAAATATAATTTTAGGCAGGCATTGAAAGAAATCGCAAAGATAAATATTGAATGAAGCTTCGCACTTTGGTACCATCTGATTTTCGACATTTTGACCCAAATCATCTGTAATTTGTTATTTCAAGCACTTTAAGAGTGGTTTAACGTCTCTTTAAAATATTCAATGCTGTTATATAAAAAGTATCAAAAGTTCGTTCTAGCCAAACGCCAAGCCAATTTCACTTATTTTAAAAATATAAATTTCACCGTTCGATTAAATAAAGCCGCCAAGAAAAGAATTCCAGAGTAAATTTTAATTAAAAATCAAACAGGTGCCAAGATGTGCACCTCCCTGTATTTCGTAAAAGTAAATGTGAAAAGAGATAACGTAAATAAAACGGTGCGGTTAGACAATTCATGTTTTTGGCAAACACTCCCCATGTGAAGTTCTCGCACGTTGACATTAAAAGAGTACATAGAATGTTCTCTCTTTCTCTTAGACATATGTTTCCGCATTAGTAACATACTCATCGATATCTAATGATTGTATGGCGAATGCAGAACAATAAAGAAATCGAAATAAAATACCTCTTAACCGGAAGGAACAAAGAAATATCTTGACACACAAACACACGTACACTCTTATACAAAAAAGAAAAAATCAATTTGAACATAAATTAATACGTAGTAACTGTAGTAGGTGTCGGGGTCTATACACGACACTACCGAAGATACATAAGTAGATTTAACACTTGGGTCATGGGTGTAAAGAGTAGAATGGCAATATTGGATTTTGTTTGAGACTGCTGACTTATCTCAATTTGAGGTGTTTGTTCAAATTGTTTACTTTGCCAGGGGGCGGACAGCAGAACAACAAACGAAAGGAGGGCGCTGTGACGAGATGTGGTTGATTGGTTGTTTAGTGGCTTTTGTTCGCTTTGGCTACCGACATTTCATTAACATTTCCGCATAATTGTATGTGAGTCACATACGAGCGAGCGAGCGGCAGTAATAAAGTGACTCAAATACATAAACAAAATAAGAAACCCTTGATTTAACAGTTTAACAGCGAAAGGTCTTATTGGTGAGTAGACCGAAAAAAGAAGTATGACAACCAGCAAAAGTAACTGGAGAGATAACTACTCCAAAAATATCTAAGAAAACAGAGTCAGCAATTTATGTACAAGTTCTTATGGTACTACATTATTATTGAAGAGAGGAGTACCTATATTCTCGTTCGTAAATGGTTTGACAGGAAATGTTTGACAAATCGGGCAAAAAAGGCACTCTAATGAAAATTAATATTTAAAGCCCAGCAAACATTTTAATATAAAATTAGCAGATTTAATTTTGTAAAAAAGTTGCAGTCATAAATGCGAGAATATGTAAAACTTGGTTCATGAAATTTATAAAACCTCAAAATGTTTCTTTCTTTCTCATCTCTATTGAAAATAAGTTCTGCATTGAGAAAATTAAAAATCCCAATAAGCCACCTACTAACAGATGTAAAATGATGTAAAAATATAGCCGTTATACTGGGGTCTATACGACGACGTGGACCTGCAGAGGTAAGTTTTTCGTAAGACATTACAATATTCAAATACGAAACTAAAAAAAATCTGGTGAATAATGTAGTTATACGAAGACGTGGACCTGCATAAGCAAATCTGTCATAGACCATTAGGAATTCTAAATACGAAATTTTAAACAACTCAGGTGAATAATGTCTCTAAAATCATAAAAAATTATCGAATTTCTGGGGTAGTGTTGGGATATACGATATCGTGGACAATTCGAATACACCGAATATAGGGAGGTACCGGTATATAGGGGATATATGAGGACCTATATATAAACAATACTCTTCCAGGGGGTAAAGTAATCAGAAACTTAAAAACGGAATGACGAACTGGAGGGTATAGCCATACCAATTATGGTGGATGGTATAAAAAACATTCTCCCTACATTATTGGTTTAACGTACCCAATATTATGGTGTTTGAACCAACTCGATTGACGGACATCGCTATATTGAATCCAAATACTCTCAAACGAATATCATCCAAAAAGACCAAAACCGAAATAAGACTTTTAGGTTAGGTTAAAGGATACGTGGTTATTTGAACAACTATTCCACTTGGTGACCTGCTGGTCCATTGTGTTCATCCTACTTGAAGTAAAATTATTTAAGAAAGGAAAGAAGGAAAGGTAAGAAAATAGAAAAGAAAGAAGGAGTTGTGATCAGCGTGTTATCTTTAGCCATTTTAGTCTTTTTGGCTAACCGAAATATAACTGCTGGTTCGGGCAGAATTTGCTTACACAGTAGCCTCTGTCTAACTCCAAAGAGATTTGGACAGTGGCAGAGTAAGTGCTCCACCGTCTCGGTTTTCTCCTATAATTAGAGTCACCATAACCACCGATAATTAGAGCCACCATAAGCTCTGCTTCTTGGAGACATTACATCCCCTTATAATCAGCCAGTTCTGATTGAATCTCCCAAGGTAGTGGTTGTGTAATACTTTG